TGCTCGCAGCGGAGGCTCAAGCAGTGGCGAAGCGTCCTGGCGTTCGGATGCAACTCCTGGGAGGTCAAATTCTGATTTTGCCCTGGTCCGAAATCGGGCTTGATCCCGCTTGATCCGGCTCAATCCCGTTGAATCCCGCTTAATCCCGCTTGGTCCGAGGCCCTTTCCTGGCGTAACAGCCCCTTAAATGGGGCTTAATCCTCCGTAATCCTTTCGACGAAAACCCTCCAGTAGTTGCCTCCTAACTGGCGTGCCTATAGGCCTACCAAACAATGTTCTAAGATCCTTTTGCGTTTTCCACGAAGTGTTCTCAGAACAGTTCTGGTTGGGACTGTCTTGTTTCAACGCATCGGGCTTCTGTTCTAAGAACATGGTTTCTGTTCTTAGAACCTTTCTGGCTCCTGAGAACATCTCGTCGTAGGCCTATAGAAATGCCGGGACGGTCGGTCCCTGTTCAAGGGGGTTCGAGCCACAATCTTGCCAATCGCAAAGGCGGTCGAGGCGGCTTCCAACTCCAGAGGCAGCGGGTTGGTGCCCTTTCTGCAGATGCTTCTGGGGAGCAATGTTTTTCCTGGCGATGTGGACCGTGATTATTCGAGCCATGAAGGCGGCTCGAGGTGCATCATTCGGATCAACGTGTTGGAAGTCGGGTGCCCGCTCTCGTTCGTCGGAGTGGGGGTAGATGACGCGGGGTCGGCTCACGCTGCGGCGCAACAGGCATGCGACGCTTTGCCAGCATACCTGAAGCGCTTGCCACTGGACGGACAGAAAGAGATTGTGCGGAGAAGTCAGGAGCGCAAGGAGGCGCAGCGCGCGAAGGCGAAGTTGGAGAAGCTCGTGGAGGCCAGCGTCTTCGGGGGGGTCATGCCAAAAGGAGTCTTGCGTTATGCGTTGACTGGCGACGGCGCATGCGCTGTGCAGCTTGACCTGCCGGAGCAAGACGTTCCACTCGAGTTCGTTGGCCAGGGCTCCGGCAAAGTGAGCGCCATGCATGCTGCGATCAGGGCCGCCTTGGATGGGCTGCAGGCGCAACTGGAAGCGCAGCCGCCAGAGGTACAACAGAAAATTGCGCATAGAAAACAAGATCACAGCAAGGCGCTCCGGGCGAAGGACGACTTCGAGAAGTCGGTTCAAGCTCAACTGGGTTGTTTGCGAAAGGGCACCTTAAGATATACCTATCCCGCCGACGACACGTGCGTTGTACAGCTTGACTTACTGGGCAAAGGGGCCACACTCGAGTTCTTGGGCCAGGGCTCCGGCAAAGTGAGCGCCATGCACGCTGCGATCAGGGCCGCCGCGGACGGGCTGCAGGCGCAACTGCAAGCGTTGCCGCCAGAGGTTCTGCAGGCGATATCCAAGGAGTTTCCGCAGTTCTTGGGGCAACCATCCACTAAGTCGGGTCGGCCAGTTTCAGCAGCTAAGCGGCCGCACACCCCAGGCAGCGCAGCGCGTGAACCCAGCAAGGCAGCCGAGGCAGCCCACCACCTAGAGCAGCCCACGTCGGCCGATAGGCCCAGGGAGTTCCCGAGGGCCCCCGAGGCGGCGGGCCTTTCGGAGGGGGAGGCAGCGCAGCTCATGAGCTTGATGATCCGCATAAGTCAGAGCAGGTCGCCGGAGTGGGCGAGGACGTGGAGGCAGTATTGCGACGCGAGAGGGGGCCGCGCGCCAGTCTACGACCCGGCACGGCACGACTTCAGGTTCCTGGAAGGGTTCTTTGACTACGCAGGAGCGATGGCGCAGCGAAGCGGTGAATTGATTGAAGAAGAAGCAACATGAATTGATTGAAGAAGACAATACCCCTACCTTCGTCTTCCCCACTGGCCCTCACCTCCCCAGCCGTCCCTCCCGGGCGAGCCGGAGCGAGCGCGAGCATGAATCCTGAGAAGGCCCAGCCTGGAGCCGTGCGGGATTCGCGCGCGCCCCCCTTGGTTCGGGCCGGGGGTGTCTTGCGCACCAGTCCGCGGGCCCAGGGTGCGAGTGCACGACCACAGCTGGTGTTGCACAACTATTCCTGGGCATCCCACATGGGGTCCGAGTAGATAGAGCCCCGTGATCGCTCCGCATCGCCGATGCACGGAGACAATGCGGCTCGACGTGGAGTCAGAGTTTCTCCACGCTGATGGCTCCGATGCACTGGCAATGCGGCGGGATCCTGCGACCCCATCTACTCGGACCCAACCCAGGAGGCCTCGAAGCTGTTCTTGCCCGCTTCCTTCCATCCCCCCTCCTCCACTCCTGTTCAACCCGAGTGGAAGAGGGGGGATGGGAGCCGCGTCGTCGTCGTCCTTCCTCCGCCTCTTCCCTCACTCTACCGTCACACTCATCCTCAACCAAGGGCAATGTTTTGGCCCGACTGCCACATTGTTGCCTTTCCTTCTCTGTCCGCCTGTCTCTCGTTCCACACCTTCCTTCCACCCCAGGCCCAGTGTACTATCGAGTTTGTTTCGGGGTCCTTCTCCGTGATGGAGAACTGCAAGACTGCTCTCATCGGCATTCGACGGTGCCGTCCTTGCGCGGCAGAGCGCCAGATGATGTCGGGATGGGGACGTCAGAGACATCGTAGACGGAGGGGCACTTGAAGATGCAGTCCATGGATATTGCCGAGACGATCATTCGTTGTTATATTGAGAGTGGAGAAGCGTACAATGATTCCGTTGAGCAAGTGTGTTTGCGCCAGTGGATTTAACATTTGATGCCATGTATCGTGATGCCCTCCCAAGGGTACCCCACCAAGACGAGAGGAGCATGCCGCAGCATAGTTGATGTCTGCACTTGCTTTGATCACTAGCGAAGACGCATCTGGCAAACCTCCGCAACCCTATGTCTTTTGGAAGCGCCTGAGTGGACGAACATTGGGCCAGTCCGTGGCCAAGCCATTGGACTATGTGTTTCCACAGCCCTTGTGGAAACCGTTTTGAGACCACCTGTCGGAGGAGTATATAGGGAGAGATAGTGAGAGGGAAAAGGAATACGAGAGGGAGGATAATGAAGACGAGAAGGTGGACGAGGCCTTCGTCGATCATGTTAAATCTTCCAAGGGGGCTCTTCGGGGCCTCGTGTGGGCCTTTGAGTTGCTTCTTTGGGGCAATTGATTGGGCCCTTCAAAATCAGGAGGAGAACACAACACACAGACACACTTAATCGTCGAGTCCGAGGGACATATGGGAAACTATTGGAAACTATGGGAAGTGGGGGGGAAGACGACAATCCAGAACATATGGAAACATATGGGGGATCCTGTCATTTGTGTGACTTTATTTGTGTGTCCTTGGGCCCCTTCATGAGAAATCACCTGGGGCTTTGGGGGGACCTCTTGGCGGCCTCGGAGTTCCTCTTGGGGGCCTCCTCGGCAGTCTCAGTGCTCTCTTGGTCCGTGTGACGCCTTGCGAGGCCTTCTTGGGAGCTTCTGTGGGTCCTCTTTGATTGTCTCGGGGCTCTTGTGGCCTCTTGGGCGCTTCTTCGTCCGTCTTGGGGCTGCCTTGGAGGCCTCTGGGATCGTCAGATGGCGAGCACGCGGCAGTCCTCGTGGATGGCCCTCGTTGATGGTCCCCTGGATCTTGTTTGAAGGCGTCTCTCGGCGGTGAGCCCAGGCCAGGGGGGGGGTTCTCAGAAGACTCGGAAGGCCCCAGGCCTTCTGAGATGTTCTCTAAGCCTTCCCCGAAGTCACAACAAATCGATCAGAAGGCGCGAGGGATTCTGAGAAGCCCCACCGCCTTCTGAGAAGACCTTCTCCTTTGCACTTCCCCCCCTCGCTCGCCGCCGAGTCTCGGGAGCCGTTTTGAGGCCATCTTCGGCCCTGTTGTGGCCATCGTTCATCCATTTTGGGCCCTTTTAGGGGCCGTCTGGGATTCGTCTTGGATGCCCCCTTGGAGCCATCTTGGGCGGGATAGCCCACAGATTCCCTCCTTCGTGTATTGTTTAATGGATACAGTGGAATTTGTGTTGTGATTGCACCGTGTAGATGGCTAGGGAATCCTTTATTCCCGCATGGTGTGTATCGCATTGTTTTCGTCCTCGCAACGTAAGGGTCGACTCGACTTCCCTTCCGATCCCGGACTTAACCGTACCCCGTTTTTGTGTTTCATGCTACACATGTTATCCCAGGAGGGTTGGTACCAACACAAACGCACCATCCCTGACAAATAACACGATCCGCGCACACGCGTTTATCTTACCGTAGTATGTTACGAGCATGGTTTGCAAGAGATGCAACAACGACCACGCTCGCATGCCGAGACCTGACCAAACCGATTCGTTGCGCAAGCGTGTCAGCATACGCATGCATGTGCCAGTTGGAGTTTTGCGAATGTTCTGCCCGCGCGTTTCTGCTGAAGCAATATCATGCTAACAATCTCGCCCAGACCCCACGTTGTAAGTTCACCACGAGATCCTTCGCGTTTGATCTATGATGCGTCCAATGCTCGAATCTACAGCAGGTATAACCATGCGGGCCACATGGTCGCGCTGCTACGCCTGCGTGTCGAAAACCTTCCAGCACGCGTGGTGTTCGGAGGACTTCGGCATAGAGCTGTTCAAACACATGTGAACCAACATGTCTTCTTCAAACAAATAACCAGCGGGCTTGAATTTCCCAGTGCGCGCGCTTCCTCACCAGCACCCTCATCAGAGCAATCGCATCACCGTCTTTCTCATCATCGCCAAAACGCCTTCATCACCCGCACATGGGCATCAGCAGCTGTCGTCGTCACCAGCATCGGCGCCGTAGTGGCCTTGCCGCCGTCATCGTCATCATCGCCATCAGCTTCGCTTTTGTCATTCTACGTCTGTCGTCGTTGTCGACGTAATCGTGATGTCGCGCCCGCGCGAGTTACCGATCCGCACTGAAGCGCCCGTGTGCCGACGCGGCCTTTGAGACGTGCTCGGAGGCTCCCATCGGCAAGCGCCATCGCGGCCGCACCAGCCAGTTGTGCCAAGCCAGCCGGCCGCTCTGCGCGGGCCCGTGAGTTTGGCAGTGCGGCCGGAGAGAGGGACCGGCAAGTTCCAACCGGCAGCCGCGATCGTGGCCGCATGTATTTTGCGCGGGCGGGGGGGGGGTCCGCGAGCAGTGGAGTAGACAACTCAGGTCCGGCTTGCTCACATTTCATCTCAGGCGAAAAAATCAACTCCACCACCCGCCCCCGCCCTTAGGACTTTCCCCCCCTCGGGACACTGCAATTATATTTGATTCTTTCTGCCCGCCATTCATGTCGCACCTGACGCTATCCAATCCCAGGCAGGCAGGGTAAACACCCAACCCACATTTTTCGAATAATATTACGCGCGCGTTTTCGTTCATCGCCAAGGATGAATTGTTCAAGGATGCGGATTAATCGCTTCGCTCATTCCGCTCCCTCTCTCTCTCTCTCTCTCTCTCTCTCTCTTTCTCCACAAATGCGGGAGTGAGCGAGTCCGAAACTGTACAGGCCCAAGGCGCTCAGCCAAAGCGAGGCTAGTCCGGGGTTCGGCGACTCCCCGGGGGCCAGAATAAGCGCGTTGAAAAACATTCTTTTCACTTTCATCGTTCTGACACTTACACGTTTCTCTGTGATGGGCGACGCGCCACCTTCGCAAGAGCCGGGCCTTCCGGCAGGCTCCCATGGCCAGGCAGCGCAGCTTGGCAATGGCAGAGGCGGAGGTGGACGACCACTGCTGGCACCGGCCGCAGGCCATCCGGCCCTGGCAGAGCGGAACCGCTCCCCAGCTCGTCAAGCCGATGAGCAACGCGACGGAGGAGGTGCAGCAGCAGATGGAGCAGCAGTTGGAGGCAACAGTGAACATCGTGACATCAGGAGTTTACTCGACGAGTTCTTTGGGGAGTACGTTGTGCCCGAAGCCATGAAGGCCATGAAAAAGGCAGCAACCGATCTCGCTCAGAAGATCAACGGCCTTCAATCGACCAGGTCAACCTGGGAGAAAATCAAGAAGCATATCACGGACCTCACGAACGGCCAAGACACAGAGCTTCCCCCAGGCCATGGGTTCAAGAAGGTGAGTATCGCATTCGAGAGCCCGCTTTTGGATTCCTTGAAGACTGGGGAGCCTGAGGTCTTTGACATCACTGTTGCGGGCACGTTACCTGTACGGGAGGCAAAGGAATCTGTGCATAAACGTTACCTTTGTATTCAAAAGCAGCTTGATCAACGAGCTTTGGAGGCCCATCTTGACCTTCAGCGTGAAGCGACACGTAAGTCACACTTCTTGGGACATATTTCGTCCATCTACGCAGCGCAGCCTTCGAAATGGCAAGCATTGGGCGTGATTTTAGAGGAGGATGATTTAGAATTATCAACCATGGAGGCTGATCACATAAAGTCCAAGGCGATTGTGGTCTACCGCAAGATCTTGGACAAAGCAGCCCGTAACCTCCATAACAAGCAAAAGGCGGAGCAAGAGAAGAATGAAGCGAAAACTAAGCTCATCAAGGAACTGACCAGTTTCAGTCCAGCAGAGTATGTTTCTTACACCGTTGGGAAGATGTTCAAGGAGCAGATGAAAGGCCGTGGACGCGGCAAGGGTACTGGCGCATCAGGCTTCAAGAATATCGACGAGCTGGAAAGGAAGGCAGGCGCGAAGGTTGATCCAGTGAACTGGTATGCAGCGGGAACTCTGTCTACTGCTACGGAAGATGACGTGGAAAGAAGTTTGGCAAACAACGATCGGAACCAGTCTTCTACTCCGAAGGGGAAGGGTGCTGGCAAGACCAAGGATGGCAAGGGCAAGGCAAAGGATGGCAAAGGAAAGGCGGCTTCACCACCTTCGACGACCACCCCAAAGGCAAGGGCAAAAGCAAAAGCAAAGGCAAGGAAGGCAAGGGCAAGGACGGCAAGGGAAAGACGAAGGGCAAATTTTCCAAAGGAGGAAAGCCAGGGTCAAAAGGTGGGAAAGAGCGAGGGAAGAGTCGGAGGTACCAGTGATCGAAAAATGCACCCGCACCTTTTGGAAGACGATCGACGGCCTTCCATTTGCAGACTTTGCGAATCTCCTTCGTATGCATGATGTGCAACCACGTATGTACGTATTATATTATGATGAGCGCTCTGTGTACCGACCAGAACACGGAGAGGTTCCCTGGCCAATTCAATTCTTGCTTGGAAGCTATCACCGCAAACACGTTTTCCGTAGCAGGCGAGGGCCTGACTTACGATCTGTATCACAACATATTGCTAAGTGGGGAAGAAAATTTGCGTGGATATGTTTCTTCGAGGCAGCTGATGAGTACGATAGCCGGTGCGAGATCGAAAACGAAGTTAACCCTTGGAAGCGATACCGAAAGCGACCAAACATCACCCCAGATTGTCCAGGCCCTCTGAGCGCGGTGCAGCAACAATTCGTTTCTAGCGTTACTCAGGGCGCGTGGGACGCTTGTTTGATTGCCCGAGGCCGTTGGTTTCAACACCGGCGACGCCTTAGCAATTATTGTGGGTTGCGTGCGTGCGTTTTTGACATGCTCAGACGTGGGCGTTTGGGGGTCATCCCTACTGACAAGGATGGCGGGGTATG